GCTTTGTTTCCACAGTGAGGTCTGTCTTCACAGATTGCGTTACAGGAAATAGCACCGGGGATGAAATACGAAGTGTTATATCTCCCCGTCTGTTCCCTGTATGATGCGCCGAGTTCTTGTTCTCTAGAATCGAAGAATGAGTCCTAGGAACACGGAGGTTAAGAGCAGGAAGACATGTATTGATAGGAGAGCTTCTGAGGGGTGGGGACCCGAGTGGGCAGCCTGGTACCCTGCTTTAAAGAACAGATGCTCCTAGGAAGCGGTGGGTCCAGGGGTCTCTGGTCACCCCCCGGGGTGGCCGATGTCTGTCTAGACTTCATTGGGCCCAGGGGTTGTTCTTTGAGGAAGTACGCAGATAGATCTGGTTATCTTGTCTTTAACACGAGGCCTGGTTTTTAGCCAGTGTGTCTCCGGTGTAGCTGTGGTGTTTCACCTTTGGCCTGACTCTCGAGGATCCAGCCTGTCTGACTGCCTGGGATATTTCTACCTAGCCCCTCTGTCTCTCACAATTGGAGTGTGTGCCTTGTAGTCACCCACGCCTGGAGGAAGCCCTGGCCACATTTCCTGATGAGTTCACTGCAGGGTAGGCCTAGGTCGGGCTCCCCGCTTTACCCTTCGCATGGCGCCTTGCGCAGCACACAATGCCCAGAAACCTGTGCTGGGTGATGGAGCGCAGCCTGCACTGCACCGAAGCCACCATGTGGTCAGGAGCTGCTCTCTGGGCCTGCCAGGGTCCCTCTTCCGGGACACCACCGGCGGGGTGTGGAGCAGGCTCTCTGCTGCATAACACAAATGAGCAGTTTGTGGTTTTCGCATAAATATTAGGTGGCAGGTACAAGTCATTTAGGCTTTTTGGTGTAAGCAAAATTGGTGTAAATTTAGCCTAAGCAAAAATAGTAGAAACCACTGTCATAAAAACACACGCACACTGCATACTTCTCTCTATGATCTTACCCACTTTCCTGGCTTTAACTCTTTGTATGTGCTCACCACTCCCTTATTTTTGTCTCTAGCTCAAAATTCAAAACTTTGAATTCAAAAACATTCATCATAGGTTAGTAACTTAGCAGAATTTTTAAAAATGTTTACTAGGTATTTGAGAGAGACTGTAGACATTTTAAAACAATCCAAATTTTTATTAATCCCCAACACATCCAGTGAATCATAAGCAGGTTGTTAATCTGAATTTCACAAAGCCCAATATTTATTTCAGAAAAGAATGTAGGTCATATAATTTCTGGGTAGTAGAATGCCACCATTTTGAGCAATTTTCCCCTGCCTTTAAAATCTTAGATCTCAAAAAATGCTTTGCAGAATTCAAGTAACATACGTTATTCATTCTTGATGGAACAAATAAATTGAAATGTCTCTCAGGTTTTCTGTATTGTATGCACAAAATAATTAACACTCAGTATTATGGATTAATATGTCAAAAATATATTGTCCATTTGAATTTATATACTAATATGTATTTCAAAAGCTCATATGAATTTTAGGTAAAATACCAAAAAATAACTACTTACTTAACACCTGTTGTTGGAGATAGGATGATTAAAAAGAAGAAGAAATGGTGGAGTGGGGCCAGGGATTCAGCTCAGTGGCTCTGCCACCTGCCTTGCAAGTGCAAGCTCCCAAGTTTGATCCCTGGTACCCCCCCAAAAAAGAAAAAAAAGAAATGGTGTTCTATACTACATGGACTGTGCTTCATTTTGGAGACCTGGCTTAGTAATCAGGTTTTGTTCTATTTTGCCTTAAGTAGAGACTATAAGAAAATGAGTTAAAAATTTTTCTGTCTTTTTTCCATATCCCTCAAAAATATACTTTTTCATACAATTTATGATAAAGAGTGTTTCAGGTGACATGTTACTTACTGTCAGACAGCTTTTAGCACTCATGCCTAATATTAGCCTAGAAATCGTACAGAACTTGGATGCTTTAGGATAAGAGTACCTGTCTGCAAGCTCCTCTCTGTCGAGACTTTCTGTTATGTACCCTTGAGCCCAACCACGTGACTTGTGAAGCTTTACATTATTTCCCAAATCAGTCCTCCCCCCTCCTGACAGATGGCACTGCTGTCACACACTTGTGATTGCTTCTCATGGAGAGGGCTGCCCGCCTCATTGCTGGGCAGAAACATTAGTCAGTAGCTAGTTATTACATTCAGCATGACTGAATTGGTCATAATAGTACAGCATTATGAAAACACCCCCTCTGTTAAATTTTCATTACTAAAATATAAGTTTTAAACTAGTTTATCTGTGATGCTTTTCTTACACAATTCTAATAAACAGTCACAAACCTTATCTTAGTTATTTTTCTCGTTGCTGAGACAAAATACTCATCACTCAAAGTTAAAGGAGGAATGGTTTATTTGGCTCACAGTTTGTAGAGGTTTTAGTCCATAATTGGCTGGCTCCAATTGGATAGCAGAGGGGCATTGGAGAGGAGAAACAGTTTATGGAGGGCAAAGGTAGCAAAACAACAAGGGATGACCACAGCTCTTTCTGTCCCTTATACCTAATCCAGGCTACTTAAGGCGGGCAACCCTCACACTCTATCCCAGTGCCCTTGGTGCTAGCACTGCACCATGAATCAATTCCAGCGTCAAGATGTAGACACCACCTAGATCAGCCACCTCTGAAAAAGCCCACCTATGACATGAGGCTTTGGGGGACGTCCAGACACAGCCGTAACATGTCACCCCTGGCCCCCCAGACTCATGCACACCCTTTATGCTAAAGGCATTTAGTCCATCTCCAGGAGCTGCCAAAGTCCTAACAGTTTCAGCACTGCTGAAAGTCCAAGTCCCGAGTCTCCTCTGAGATTTAGGGCAAACTCTCAGCTGGGAGCCCCTGTGCAAATGAAAAGGAAGTTAGACACTTCCAACACACAGTGGCACAAGATAGACATTACCACTCCAAAAGGTACAAAGAGGATAGGAAGGAAGGTGACCCGAGCAAGTCCAGAATCCAGCGGGGCAGACATTAATTCCTGTAGGTCCACGTCCAGCATCCGAGGGAATCTGTGGCAAGATATGAACTCCACAGGGCTTAGTGGCTCCACCCCATGGCACTTCTTGTGGTGGTTGTAGCTTCTGTGGCTTTTTTGTGGGGCCGGATCTGCTCCCTCACAGTTTTCCTCAGATGATCCACGTTCCTGGCTTCTCCAAACTTCCGGGGTCTCCACTGCACCTTTGGCTTCACACTCAAAGCTTCACACACGGCCCTCTCAGGCCTCCCAGGGTTCTGAATTCTGGGTGGAAGCCTTCCTGACCCCACAGCTGTTGCATTCTGCATGCGCCTGACACTAGCGCCATGTGGATGACACCAAGGTCTGCTGCCAGCCGGAGCAGGAGCCGGGCTTCCTTCTCTCTTGGCTGTGGGGGTTGAGTGCCTGTGCACCCAATCCTGAGGAACAGTTTACCTAGGCCACTGTCATTCTGGAACACGGGGCTCTGGGGCTATCTTCTGAAAGCAAAGTCTTTTACCTTTGCAACTCTGAGGCTGCAAAGGCTGGAGTCCTGTGGGTTCTTTTGATGTCCTCAGGCCATCTTTTCTGTTGTCTTCTAAAATACTTGGGTTTTTCTAGCTAATCTTTTCGGCAACTAATTTCTCCTGTGTTCCATCTTTGCAGGCTGCAACTTTACTGGAGCGAACTTTCTGGCAAAACTGAAAACATTTTAAATATTTCTGCTGGGTTCTTTGCTCTTAATTCTCAACATAAATCTGGCTAAAAGCCCCCACCAGTAGCCATGCTACTGCCTCAATATTTGACTGCCTTGAAATTTCTTCTGCCAGATTAATTAGTCCACAGCCCTTAATCTCAGTCTCAGGCAGTCTCTGGACAGGAGCAAATTGCAGACAAACTTTTGCCAAGGCGTAACACACATGGTCTGGAGTCCAGCAGCCAGTGCAGCCCTTCTTCCCAGCAGACACCTCCTGAGCCTGGCCTTTACCAGCAGAATTTCTATCAGCATTCTGGTCTTCTGAGCTCTGACCAGAATCTCCCATCCAGTACAGCCTCAGGCATTGCAGCTCTGCTTTTTCAGGCAGCATCTCCACATCTCCTAAGTTCCCCTTCTCACAAGCCAGCTCCAAAGGCTCCTGAACCACATCGTCAGGAACAGCAACAACCCCACTTCCCTGGTACCAAATTCTGTCTTAATTACTTTTCTCTTTGCTGAGACAAAATACCCAACACCCAAAGTTAAAGGAGGAAAGGTTTATTTGGCTCACAGTTTGTAAAGGTTTCAGTCCATAGCTGGATCTAAGACAGGGTGGTAGAGGAGAAACAGTCCATGGCAGGCAGAAGGTAACAAAGCAACAGGGGACAACCACAGCTCTTTCTGTCTCTTACATCTTATCCAGGCTACTTAGGGTGGGCAGCACTCACACCCTTAATCCTAGCGCCCCTGATCCTAGCATTGTACCATGAATCAGTTCCAGAGTCACACACTCCACATCCAGCCACGTCTGAGAAAGGCCCACCTATGACCACATGAGGCTTTGGGAGGACATCCAGATATGAGCTGTAACAGATCTTAAGAAACTTCAGGTTGAATTCTGGATTACAACCACATAATATTGTCAGGCCAGAAATTATAAATATGCAGCTAAGTAAATAAATCTCCATATATCATTCAGTGAAATGGAGTCAGGAAAGAATTTCAGTGTCCAGAAGTAGACATTCCCAGAGAGCCCATCTACTCTGAAGTGACACGGGTTGTTTTAAAAGGTTTGTGTTCATTAGAATTATGTAAGAAAACCATCACAGATAAACTTCTTTAAAACTTGGATTTTAGTAATGAAAAACAAGCATTATTTTCATGATGTCGTGGTGTCATTCTCAGATGTACACTGCTCCATGTTTTGACCACTTCAGATACTCCATCTTCCAAAGCGTTTGGATCCAGCGTCGCTGGTTGCTGTGTTGAGTGGACGCTTTCTTTTACGTGCTGCATGCTTTGCTTCACATCGCTGTTGTCGTTGTTGTTGTTCTAGTCCATCCAAGGGAAACTTTCTAAAGAGAAGTTGACTACACAGAAGATGGTGGAAGAGCTAGAGAGGAAAGAAAGAAACCTCCAGAGATTATCGAAAGCACTGCTTGAGGTGAGTAGGAGAAAATGCTCGTCTGGGAAGGGAATCCATAATCCACACCTCTTTCAGTTTCGAGGCAAGGCCTAGTCTGTGTATATCAATTAATAGAACACTTTTTAAACTGGAGACTTGATTTTAATGTGCCAGGTAATTAAATCCATTAGGTTTCTTAGGAAAATTATAATAGGAAGACAGACCTTTCGTTTTCTTATGTCCCAGAGTACAGTTGCACAGACTTTGCTCCAGCCAAGCAGATGCTGTGCAGACCTAGGCCCCACAGTGAGCAAGGAGGGCATAGACTGAGTGGAACAAAGTGGCCCTTGAAAATCTGCAGAGAAGGCACAAGATGAGGATTCACCAAGGGAACAGCTGCCTGTCTCAGCAGTGCGAAGGGAGGGCTGGACTGGGTTGAAGAATATGCACACCAAAGTATACGTTTTGACTCATATTGTTACATTTCATGCTTACATACTTAAGAATGCATTTCCAAAAGCTAAGGACATTTTCTTAACCATAGTTGTCACATCTGACAAGAATAATGATTCCTTGACATTTGAAAATGCCTTGGCTATATTCAGATTTCAGTTTCACCAAATTTTTAGTTCTGTTGCAAACAGCATTTAATCAAGGACCACTCATTGCATTTGATTGTAGTGTCTTATAAATCCTTAGATTTCTTTAATATTATTTGCTTGTAATTCATTTTGGGAGTTTGGTACATGTGTATATCAGATTGTTGAAGACTAGAAGCCCGTTTTTCTCATACTTGTAGATTGTCCCACCATGTAGGTTTGTCCAGTTGCTTCCTCATGGGTGTCATTTATCTTGTTCTGTACTCTTGTGTTTCTTGAAGCTACACAGTGCTACAAACCTCATGAAATTCATGTCACGTTTTGAAGGGGTGAGAACGCTTTGTGAGTGCTGTTTCCATAACCAGATTGTACAGCACTGACCATCACCCAGTCAGGTGGTTCCGTGTCTGATGATCACACGGTCTGACTGTTCCGTGTCTGGTTGTCCCTCTCAACGCAGCACACAAATGCTGACCTGTCTGGGTTTGGGTGGTGAGAGCCTAGCCTCCCGCTGTAAGTTAGGCCCTGAGAACACCAGGAGTGCTTGGATGTGTGAATTAGCCCAGCCTTGTCCCTCAATGGTTTGACATCCACTGGTGATCAGTGCCCAAGTCGTTAGATGACTGAAAATGTTCATTTCTTCCAATTACATCATTTCTTTATATTTATAGCTGGCATTTATCTATTAAAACTTCGTCATCACTGTAGGCTATTTGGTTATCCTGAAACACTGTTCCAGTGGAAAAGCTGATTAAATTTACCTTTAATTAGCAGTTTTCAGGATGAAAAGGTGATAATTTTGGAGCTGCAGGCAGCATTTTGAGTGGTAAATCCTGAGTTCGTATTGATACTTCTAGTTCAAATTTAGCAAGTCTTGAGTTAGTGAGGGTTTTCTCCCTTTTTTGATTTTTAAATTTATTTCTTCATCTCCTAAAACTTGAAGTTTTTGGTTCCTATCAACATTAACATGATAACATGCTTTTTTCTCAGTAGACAAAAAGTAAGTACAAAGTAATTAATTACTACTGCCAGTAGCACTAAAATTACTGAATAAGGTTAAAGTGACCTAAAGTTCTTTTTGTGCTTAGGATAAATCTCATTTATAGAAAAATGTGTATCTCACCAAGATGCTGCAGATGCGAGAAAGCCCAGAACCTGAGACTTTGCATCTAATGCCTGTTCTCGTGTGTCGCGTTCGCCTTTGACCAGCAATGA